TCACCCCACTTTTGCCAGTCAGACTTATAACTAACAGAATGCTTACGGGCGCCATTCTCGCTTAGGAGATAACGTTAAGGTCATGCTCCACTGGTTATAGTTCAACGGCAAATAATTAGAACTGACAGAGCGTTTATTTATGGGCTCGTTTCAAATGTTATATTCAGAATTAGCCTTAACAATAAGCTTCCAAATATAATTTACAAGTTCCTGATTTTTTTCATCGCAACTATTTACAATATAGTTTTCAATATAGTGTTGTGACGTCATGTGGCACTCTGGGAAATAAAAATCTATATATATAATTCTCTTCTGGGAGCCGCTAGAAAACAAGCTGTAAACGCGCTCCCTACCACCCCACCCCTACATGGTCTTAGTGAGCTGTGTTCACTCTAAATGTTTACTAGCAGAGCCGGGTTTAGTGACGACTATTAGGGGCAGATAATTTAGTTTGAAACGATTTTAAACGTAGGGGGGGGGGGGGAGGGGGGAGGAGGGGGGTTATGGTTCTTAACGAGCTACGTATAGTGTTTTAAAGAAATATTTTCAGTGGCAGCGTTGGTACTGTCGAATTCACAAATTATGAATTACTGAAAAGTAGAAAAAACAACAACTAAAATAGCGGCGTATGTTATGCCGCGGGCCGGCTCGTTAGTGATAAAATATCTCCTACCTTGCTATCCCGATGATTGCCAAGCTTTAGTAAACACGGTGTTTTGACTTCCTAGTTATGCCCTTGCAACATTGCATTTCCTGTGTGTTGTGGAGACACAAGGGGCGGGCATGGGGGGTGGGGGGGGGGGGGGGGGGACGACGACGGGACTTTGTTACACCGTTTAATTTAAATTGCATAACGCTAATTAAAATACCTGCGCGACGTCTGCTTTTTTTGTGGAGGTTTGAATATTCAAGACATGCGTTGGTTTATTTTAGATATGGCATTGAATGTGTCCGTTTTAAAGCTGAGATTAGAATAGAGGATTTGGGGTTAATCTTAGAGTGAGTAGTATACTGAGCGGATGGTCTGAGCCACGTACGCTCATGATATTCACACACAAACACACAGACACACACACAGACACACACACATATACACACACACAGGCACACACACATATATACACACACAGGCACACACATACACACACAGGCACACACACACACACATTGGATATCATATATGTAATTTGCTGCGTTAGTCTGTCAGTCATTCTAATCGAGATAAATGAAATACAGAACGGAAAACAAGCTAAGAAGTATCCGGTCAAAAGGTAACAAACAAAAATGGTTTCAGATTTTTAACTATACGTGTGGTTTTTTTTTTTTTTGGTTTTTTTTTTTTTAAATTTATTCCCCGCATAGGTTGGGGTTTGAGGCTCGTATATATTGTTATCAAGTGAGGCCTATTTCTCTTCTTTGTCGCGTAGCCTACGTTGAAGAGCACTCGGCTGCCATCGCGAAAGTCTCAAGTTCGAATCCAGGTTCAAGTAAGATGAACGTCCCTGAGTCCACCTAGCCGTGATTACCTAACTCATGTTAGGGAGAGTAAATGTGGCTGGGCCAAATTGTGTTGACCGCGTCTTCAAATGCTGAGGTCAAGAACAGTGGGGGGGGGGGGGGGGGGCGTTCAACATTTTCCGGGGGGGGGGGGGGGGAGCGGACACTGATAAAAGTATGTTTTCTATATAAATTCCATGTCGTTCAGGGGGAGAGGGGGGGGGTGGTAGACTTTCTTCGGGGGGGGGGGGGGGGGGCTGCGAAGAGATGCCTGGAAGAAACTCTGGTCAAGAAGAAAATGAACAATTCTTCATCTGTCCAATGCATTGCTAGGTCTAAAGAGGATTCTTTACTCTTCATCACAATTCGCAGACGCTATCTTTTAACCATTGTATGACACGCTGAACAAGTTGACAAAGGAAAACGAAAGCCTCACTAAAACTGTTTTTCTAATTTGTATTACTTCCGCATTCAAACCTCTGTTTATAAGCCCTTCATAATTTGTTGATTTGAAACACCTTCCTAGACTGTCTATTCCAAGGTTTAATGGCCGCCATCAGAGGTGTCTAGCAGGGGCGGCTATCACGTGGGGTAGTTTGATTTAATTAGAAGAACGAATGCCACTTTCTTAGTTTAGTTTAGTGTTTATAATTTTATAAACTTAAATCACCGCTTGTATATATATATATATATATATATATATATATATATATATATATATATATATATATATATATATATATATATATATATATATATATATAACACATTTAATACTTTTGAGACACTTTAAATCACAATTAATTATGTACTGCTAATTGATTACACCACGTTGAAACTGTTTGTATTATGCACTATTGAAGCAAAGAAAGTTGTCTTTAAAAAAAAAAACTACCTGTAATAATATGCTTTACCGCGTGCCCCCCCCCCCTCTCCTCCCATCCCCCCCCCCCCCCTTCCAGGCACGTGAACTAAAACTGCTTACATCTAACATACAACCAAAGAGAAATCTTGGTAAGATTTCAAGAATCACAAAGAATATGGGTAGTATAACATTGACCATGAGGATTTGAATAAGTCTTCGTACTTGGGTAAAACTCCCATTAAAACACAATAATAGTCTAGTAGCATATTCTCCAAGAGGGTTCGGCTTGGTCGGATTGGTAAAGCTCGTGGTTATAAACCGAAACGTAGGCCTCGAAAGCTGGAGATAGCAACTCCATCAAGAAAATGCAAAAAAAAATAAATGCCGCTGTTGAATCAAGTTAAGAGAGAAAAGAAATTGGGCCGACATATGCCTATTGGGCACATAACCAATTAATGCAAAATTATCCCACTCAATAAGAACAAAGTAGAAAAAATAAGTACCCATGGTATGTGTTGTTATTGTTTAGCTTTAACACAATACAAAGGGAAGTAACTAAAAAAATCATTCGCGAGTTAGGAAACCATGAGTATTTTCCTTAGATTTTACGGTAGGCCAGGCATATCTTAGTGATTATCCCTCATTTAAAAAAAATGTACAGCTGTTACGAGCTGTAGCTTAAAAAAATTTAGCTGTCTCTGTCTTTGGTTACAACATATTTGAGTCTTCACTCGACTACCGCATAGAGCTTTTGGTTTAAAACAATGAATTCATGAATTTGCTGATTAAACTAGCCAATGTACCTGTTGAGTTATGAGTTACATAATTCTACGCTTTTTCTGCGGACAAAGCGCGGGTAACCACAGTTTGGGTTGTATGCTCGCTTAATTGCTAAATAATTAATTAATGTCCTAGAAAAAAAACAACAACATAATTGCAACTGGAGGTGGGATTTGATAGTTTATTTTTGTTCCTGAACCAGACCATACCACTTCACTAAGAAGGGAATAACCACTGATTAACCAACCGATGTTATCGGCCATGAATGGCAGGATTGCCTCCCATGTGCTGATAATTGCTTGCGTATGGGTGGATTTCAGGATTTTTTTTAAAACGGGAACGTTAATATAAATTGGAAGCATTAATATAAATTTGAATTATTTGCGATTTTTCGCAAAGTTAAGAAATTTACTTGAGAGTAGTCAAACATAATGAAAAGAAAAAATACAAAGTAAACGCGCTTATCTTTTAGGTGCATAAATTGGAGGTCTATCATAAAAACGTCGCAAATTTTAAAGCGATTGATCAATATTATGGCGGTGGGGGAGGGGGGGGGAGTGAGAGAGGCTTCTTTACACAACCCAAAATAATGGCTAAAATATTTTTCTAGCTTTGCTTTTTAAAGTGCAAAAAGTCGTACCCCCCCCCCCCCCCAGGCCCCTGGGAGTGTGACGGTGTATATGATAAGGATTACCCGTAACTTGTATTTTGTCAACTTAATAAAACGTAACAATTTTCATATTTATATTTAAACACTTACTAATGAAAGTTACTTATAAAGTGGTAACTCGAGATACAAATTTTATTCGTTCGTAACATTGCTCGTACGTCGATTTGCTCGTATCTGAAAGCAGTTTTCTCTGTTAAAATTAACTGAAATGTCATTTATCCATTCCAGCACCCAACTTGCCGAAGGTCTCGAATTGGGGTCTCGGTTCGGACTTGGGACTGCAGGATGTAGTTGAGTCTACCCAGCTATGATTGGTACCTGGCTCACGTTAGGGAAAGTAAAGGCGGCTGGGCAAAGTGCTGACTACAGCCGAGGTCAAGAAACATGTTAACTATTTTATCTGCCAAATGGATCTAAAAGTAAAAGGGAACTTTACTGTTTTTAATGTTTATTACGTAGATCTTGTATGAAAGTGCAAGAAAATAAAATTTTAAATCTAATTAGAGAGACAGTCACTAAAATTTGTATTTAAAAATAGTTATTGTCAATGAAAAAGGGGAGACAACAAGATAAAATTAAAATACAGCTATCGCTTGACCAGAGGGCCGTCCAGTGTGAACTCTTTTCACGGTTGGCTAATTTTGTGCCATGTGGTCGACCACAAACTTAATTGGGGCAGGTATCTGAATTTGAGAGATCACAAGCTGTTGGAGGGATTTTAACGCACTTATTTTAAGTCCTGTATAGATCTAGTGTCATCTTCATTTACAAGGAATTAGATATCTACTAACAAGTGGAAAATGACACAAAAATAAAAAAAAAACAAAAAAAATATCCAGCTTTTAAATGCACTGAAAATAAGAAAATAATAAAAAAAACAACAACAAACGTGCTATCTTTAATACAAGGCTGCTATAGACCTAACATCAAAAATATTTAAGAGATCTCATGAGCAATCAAAGCTTTTATTAAATAAAACAAATTTGTTTTATTATCTTTTTTCCATGGTATCAAAAAGCTTGTTATTAGAAAGGTTTATAAATTTTTTAATTAATTTATTTGCAATGCATGATAAAATATAAATAGTAAAACACCGAAAAAAGGTAAAATGTATTCCTGAGATATTAGGAAGACGACGTGTAAGTTTAGAAAAGTTAACCGGAAAGCAATTATTAGCCAACCACATTTCGCCACGGTCGGTTCTGCTTGTATACCGGCGAGTTGAAAGAAACGGTGTTAGTGTGTGCACAACAGATCTCACTCAGACGTTCTAGAAAAAAGAGAAAGTGGTGAAGAGGGGTGCGTTGATTCGTGAAATCACCATTTCTCGTAAGGTAACTGTAATTTGTAATTAGAAAAAATAAACCCATCGTTAAAAATCTCTAGATCTATATTAGATCTATAAAGAAATACAATGAAACGAGTGAAAAAAATGCCCGGTGTAACAAACGCTGAAGAATTAAGATTTCTTTTCAAACCTGAGGTGGTCGTAGAATCTAGGTTCTAGATCTAGATCTAGAATCTAGTAAAAAATGCGAGATGATGAGGCGGTAAAACGCTAGAAGAAAACCAGACATTACTGCTGATTTACTGGTAGAGATCTAAACAGCGGGACAATTTGCGAGACATTATTTTTTGGTTAACGGCAACGCATTGGTTGTTTTTACTTTCTCGTAGATAGTAGTTTTACTTGCTAACCTGGAGGCGTGGCCGGTTGCTAACAGCAATATGGCATACACACCTGATGCATGACTTCCGATGATTTTCCGTCTTAGTTCCAGTGGCTTTCTTAGAATTACTGATTAAAATGTTCGAAGTGTCTACTCGGAAGAAGATTTTTCTCCCCAACGTCTCCATTTAGTCGGCAAAAGATAGTTCTGCGCATGCGCAGTGACCTATGGCTAGGGTTAGGGCTAGAATGAGGGTTAGGATAGGGTTAGGGATAGGGTTAAGGATAGGATTAGGGTTGGTGTTAGGGTTCTGCGGTTGTAAACACACGCATGCGCAGTACCATCAAAAACATCGCCGCTAAGGCAAGTCGTAGTTTCTCTCCATTGCGCATGCGTATCGCATGCGTATCTTATTCCGACTAGAATCGGCCTAAAATGTTTACCACGAGCAAAATGGCGGGATTTTTGCGTTATAAAAACAAACCATAGGTGGCAGGGCTAGATATGTCAGAAAACCATTTCAAAATTTGGTTGGTGAATAGAGGCTAAATTCAAAAGTTGGTTTCATTAAAATTAATTGAATTTAAAAATTATCAATGGTGTAGGTACAGAAATGAGCGAGAACGTGAAGCATTATTACTAAATTATTAGTTTTATTAGTCTATGAAAAAAGAAATCAAATATTGTGAGCTCTTTTTTTACAAGACCGGCGTCCGTATCACAACCGCTATTTGGCTGATCACTAGTGAGGAACTCAGGTGCATAGCCAATTAAAAAGTCGAACCGATTCGTGGTTTGCCGTAGCTTCAGGCGTAAGTTTGGTTGTCATGGAGAGGTCTGTCCTGCAAGGCAGTGAGTGACAATAAATATTAAATTAAGTAATTTAGTTTAAAACTAACTAAAACCATAAAAATTAGTGCCTAGTGGATTAAATATTGATGTTTATTATTCAGTGGTCATGTTTAAATTGAAAACTGCGCAAGTTTTAGATTTAGTGAGAAAATCTAGTAGATGGCTTACAAAGTGTTGAGGCATTCACAGTATTGTAATCATGCAAAAATCAAATTCGGGGTTTTCACACAAACGGTGATAACATGATAACAGTAGTGAACACAATAACTTGAGTACCATTGTTATGTTATAGCTAGGTTGACTTTGGGTTATCAATGGTGTGCTCTTTATTATCACTTTATAGGCCTACTGTGTTTATATTCCTGTTCCTTATGAAATCTTTACAGAATAAAACCCAGAATGATGTGGAAAAATATCAGCCCGGGGCTTATGTGCCTCGTGTTAATCTCTCTTATATCAGCTGTGTCAGGTAAAATATTAATCCTACTCATTGATGCTTTTTACTTTGGATTATGTGTTAAACTTATGTATTAAATAGTATTAATAATAATTGGCTTGTGTTAGTCATTTATTTGATTTTTATTTCACTGAATATTAAATATTTTTTTAGGACGCCTTGCTGTAATGTCAATTGATTTAGGAGGAGAATACTTTAAAGTAGCCATTGTTAAGGTGATTATTCTTTCACGTAATTTTATATTAGATTATTTAAAACAGTCATAGTTGAATTGCTATTGGTAGACATTTAAATTACATGATGAATATTGAGATCCAACTCCTAATGATTTTCAATCTTGAGGATTTCAGGTTCTGATAATTTGGATAAAGTGCAGTATATTATAAATAAAACCCATAATATCTTAAAAATAACATGCTTTTTGTTTAGGGCTTTTTGTACTTGTTCCAAATTTTTTTAATAACACTTTTATTGTGTAAGCATTGCTAATTTGTGTTGTAAAATATATTTTTTTAGCCTGGTGTACCTATGGAGATTGCGTTAAACAAGTAAGTTCATTTTTTTACTTTCATTTTGAAATAAAGTTGGAAATTTTAATTTTTGTATCACCTCGTTGAGTTTTAGTTCTTTAAGTATATAATAAATGATGAATATTGAGATCCAACTCCTACTTTACACTATGAGGATTTCATTATCTGATACACATTTTCTTTTTTCGTAAGGTTGCTTAAATTACTGGTTTAAAAATTTTTTTAAATTAATCTTTGTATTGAGTTGTAATTGAGAAAATTTTAACATTTTAGAGAGTCACAAAGAAAGACTCCAACAGTTGTAGCATTCCGTGATGGGGAGAGACACTTTGCTAGTGAAGCCCAAACAACAGTGAGTAGAGAATATTTTTTAATTTCATATGTAGCTAACTTTTTCATCAGCAATGAAATTGATGATTTGGGCAGACAGGATGGGACAACACTAAATTATTCTTTGTGCTTGCAGGCATTGAAGTTTCCACAAAAGGCATTTGGATATTTAATGCAGATAATTGGTCGTCAGTTTGATGATCCACATGTGCAACTGTATAGGAAGAGATTCCCTTATTATGATATGGTTAAAGATGAGGATAGAGGAACTGTCCTGTTCAAGATTGATGAGTTAGTATTTATTTTCTGCCCATTGTTTCTGTATAAATGATGATTATTGAGATCCAACTCCTATTGATGAATTATCTTGAGGATTTCACAGTCTGATAACTCAAAATGAACTAGATTTATTAGGGCTAATAAATTTTATTAAGCTGAGTAGTTTTCCAAACAATTAATTTTCTAAAAATGTCTCATGTTATGGCTATACAACTGATGACTTAAATTTGTTTTTGTTTATAGTGAGACTACATACAGTGTTGAGGAGTTGCTGGGTATGATTCTTGAGAAAGCTAAAGAATATGCACAAGATTTTGCAGGTAAAAAATATTGTTTTGATACTTCTTACTAACTGTAAAGTTTGTTGGTTATGTAAAAGTTAAGTAATGGATACCCATTTATGTCACATACATAACATGAAAATTGTTTTTGTTACTCCAGAACAAGAAATCAAAGATGCTGTAATAACAGTGCCACCGTTTTATAACCAGGCTGAAAGAAGAGCAGTCCTTGTTGCGGCCAAATTAGCTGGGATTAACGTCCTTCAATTAATTAGTGACAATGCTGCTGGTATGTTATTTTCTCTTCCTCGCTACTGAATAATACCAGGTGAAACCCAAGTGATGTTTTAAACAATCCAACTCTGAGCCATAGTTGAAGATATTTAAAACCTGATGGGTTCATCTGATGGCTGCCTTTTTGTGAAATTTTCAGTTATTTTATGAATTTTTTTACAACCATACTCTATATTGTTGGTGCTGATCTTTTTTCATCCTACCATTCTTTGAACTTTTTCCTTTTCAAAATTCCTGGGAAATTTGCTTTCAGTTTGAGTGCATGAATGCTGACATTCATTCTCGAGTGTCTGTTTGTGGTTGCTGGAGCATTTTTTTTCTCCCAGGTGTTTCAGTATTTTAGGAGTTTTTTTAAAGCGCCAGGTTTCACTGGCATCCATTATCACCAATCTTGTAGTTTTACAATTTTGCTTACTGTAAAAATCAATATAGATTAGAAGCTAACATTTCTTAATCCTAAGTTTGATACAATCAACTAGTTAAAATTCCATCTCTACTTTTCATTAACATTTGTCTGCAAAATATCATTTTGTGATAACTTAATAATGGACTTAGAGTTACCTTTAATACACAAAAAAATGTGTGGAAATCGTCTATTACAATTGCAGAGAGTGTTTTAGTTAGTTTTCCCCTCTAGTTTACTATGAACACAGCTGAGCTTATTCCATGTTATTTTATGTCCAACAAGTATTTCTATCGTGATCCTTAAAGCAAAACTAGGTGTGAAGAACCTAGTCATGACACTGAATAGTTCTTGTTTTTACAAATTGTTAAAATGTATCTTCTAGTTAGCTGCAACTTCAAAGCAGATATGTAGCTAATCTAGGTGTCTGATATTTTTATACTTATACATTTTTTAAAGTGTTTTTTATATTTTCCTATTATATTGTCTTTCTTTAAATATGTTTTTCACATTTCTTTTTGTGTAAAATGATGATTATTTGAGATCCAACTCCTAATGACAAATAGTTCTTGAGGATTTCAGTGTCTGAAGCACAAGATTTAAATCTCACTTTTTGTTTAGTCATTTATTTTACTTTTCTAACCTTCTATTGGTATTAATTAATAGATAGCAAATCTATTTTAATTCATTGTATATTTTACTTTTAATAATCTTTTAATATTTATCTTTATGAAAAATATTAAGTATAGCATTTTTAATATACATTGATACTTCATATTTTTAGTTTCACACAAATATTTCTTTATTCAGTTGCTCTGAATTATGGTGTCTTCAGACGTAAGAATTTTAATGCCACGATGCAGTATTACATGTTTTATGACATGGGCTCAACAAGCACAACAGCAACCATTGTAGGTATGTGAACAGTAAATGAGATTTTAGTGTTAGGTGGCATTGTATTACAATACAATGTAATAAAATGCTCAAGCCTGATATTATACTTCAGTGTAATTAAATGCAAATTTTTTTGTATATTTTTAACTTCAGGTTATAATGTTGTGAAAACAAAAGAAGGGACACGGATGGAGTCAAATCCTCAGCTAACTGTGCGTGGAATTGGGTAAGCTCAGATGTTACTCACTCACATGAACTTTCTGTACTTCTGTTTTGTTCAATCCAGTGTTAAAATTTTTACCCCTTCTATCCAGCTAAAACAACTCATTAAAATCCAGTATTAGCTGTATTATGAGCTGTTTTTTGTACTATAGGTAATGTAGACAAATTATTTTTTACATTGTACATTTTCCAGGTTTGATCGTACGCTAGGAGGTTTAGAATTCACCTTGAGATTACAAGCTCATCTAGCTAAGCTGTTTAATGAACAGAAGAAAACAACTTTAAAAGTGGAAGAACATCCTAAAGCCATGGCTAAATTATTTAAGGAGGCTGAGAGGGTCAAGAAGGTGTTAAGTGCCAATGTAGATCACACTGCACAGGTATGTGTGTTTCTGTTTTGTTTTACTAAAATGAAATTGAGGGACAAATTATTGTTTTTCTTTCTTGTCTTTATGACTCATTTAGTTGCTATTGACTTTATTGCTTAGAGTGCTTGACTTTTCAAAAAACCTAACTTTGTAACTTCTTTAGCTGTATTAAAATAATCCTCTTGTTGATAATAGACGCTATTTTAATGATAAATGGATAAACATTCTGTTAGGTGGAGAATTTATTGGATGAAAAAGACTTTAAAGCTCCAGTCAAGAGGTCAGACTTGGAAGAGTTAACCCAAGATCTTTTTGCAAGAGTGACCAACCCCATTGAAGAAGCTCTGAAAGTCTCTGAAATTACACTGGTGTGTATATCATTTGTCATTTTGTATGCTTTTTTTTTTAAGATTGGAACACAATTTTAATTAATTATTTTCTTTCAGCCTGAGATTAGTGAAATTATTCTTATGGGTGGTGCAACTCGTATCCCAAAAGTTCAGGAAATTTTGATGTCCTATCTAGGAAGGTAAGAAAAATATCTTTAAAAATTGTATGTATAAATTATTTCCTAAAGTTTGGACACATTTTATAATTTTTTTGTTTCTGTAGAACTGAGCTTGGCAAGAGCATCAACACCGATGAAGCTGCTGCTATGGGTGCCGTCTATCAGGCAGCTTACCTTGGTAAAGGATTTAAAGTAAAGAAGTTTGGAGTTAGGGAGGGTAACATCTACCCTATAAATGTAAGTCCTTTACTCTTAAATAACTTCTTTAACTTACATTAACATAATATTTTGTCATTAGCATTTTTACAGACTATTAATGTTACACACAGTTAAGAAGCTGGATTACTATTATGTATCTTCTTTTTCCAGGTAGAATTTGAAAGACAAAAATCTGAAGAGGAAGGACCAAAAACCATAAAGAGGACCTTGTTTGGTCGTATGAACCCATTCCCTCAAAAGAAAGTTATGACATTTAACAAGCACACAAAAGATTTTAGCTTCAGTGTAACCTACAGTGGTCTTGAGTTCCTTACAGAAGATGATAGAAAGTAAGTATCTAGAATTTTTTCCAGCTGTCTATTACACCATGCCCTCAATAAATATCAGATCCTAAAGTATTGTTTTTCCTCCAATAGGTCTTTTGGAACTCCTATGATTAGCAAGTACACTTTGAAAGGAGTTGAGGAAGCTCTAACTAAAAACAAGGACAAAGAACCTAAGGGTATCAAGGCACATTTCCAAATGGATGGAAGTGGAATATTGAGTTTAGATAGGGTAATATTACAATCTTTGTCTTATTTTTAAAAGAAAATATGATGATTATTTGAGATCCAACTCCTATTTTTAATTTGAGGATTTCAGTGTCTGATTAGTTTAATAGTTATGTTTAACATTCTACCCCATTAAAATATTGCATGCAAAAAAGTTTTAAACTGTTTCTCTATACGCAGGTTGAATCTATTTTTGAGAAAAATGATACAGAGGGTGAAGAAAAGTCTACATGGTCCAGTAAGTACTTACATTTTGTAGTTTTTATAAGTTTTTTTCTTTTTAAATATATGTAATTTATAATTAATCAATGATGATTATTTGAGATCCAACTCCTATCTTTTAATGAGGATTTCATTTTCTGATAAATGTTTCTACGCTTCATTAATTTAATAAGTTTGCTAGTGCTCTTTCTATGTTAAATAACATTTATCACTTTTGATACTTCAGAGCTTGGCAGTGCAATTGGAGGATTTTTTTCTGGCAGTTCTACCGATGAGGAACACAAAGTAGAAGACTCCCAAGAACCTGATGTAAGTATTTTTAACAATTTATTTTTTTACTTAATGTTGTTTAATCTTGTTTGCACTTTATTTTACATTCTTTTATTACCATAAATACTCATCCTAAAACTTGACCTGGCAGTGAAATTGTATTAATTGTTTATTAGTTATTGTAAGCACAAACTACACCTTACCTAATTTTTAGTTCAAGTTTGAGGTGAGCTGATTAAACAATGTGAAGTGAACATAATTTAATAAAAAAATGTTATGGCCCATTCCAAGGTTCACCGTAGTTATCTAAAAAGTTTTATTTATATATATATGGTATATATGGTAATTTACAGAGATTTAAAAAAAATTCCTTTACATTATAATGCATGTTTTATTATCTGTTTTTTTGCATTGTTTCATGGCTATGTTCTCAAAATTAATAGTTAATTAACAAATTTCCCGTTAGGCTTATATCTTTTAAAAAAGTGCTTATATTATATTTCAAAATTATATTTATTGTTATGTAAAGTTTTTGAGTTTAAACTAAATTTCTGGTTAATAAATATAAGGATTATTAAAATTTTCCACCCTTAAGAGTTAAAACTTTTATTAACTATCCCTGTATTTTAAAAGGATTTGCGTATTTGTGCATATTTGATTTTTAAGAATCAGGATAATTAACCACATTAATATTTTCCTCGTGACAAAATTTTCATTATGTTTATTTTGCCTTCACTATTCATGCTTAACTTGTTAGGTGATTTGTTTTTAAAAAATCATTTGTTTCTATTTATTTTTGGTTGAGGCATGTTTACAACTATTTTTGTTCCAAATTTGATTGTTCTATTGACATGTGTAGACTCCTACGGATGACAGCTCCACTACAGGTGGGGGTAATGAGGAGGTTAAGCCTGAAGAGTCACAAGGGAAAAAGGATGATGGTAAAAAAAGTGATGACACACCTAAACAGTCAGACTCTAATGTCAAGGTGTTTACTCATCTTTTTTCTCTCATTACATGTCTGTTTTAAAATTCTTGGTGCAAGCTTTGCTTTTTTTTAATATTTATCACATTTTTAAAAGTATTAGATATTGCTTAGACTTGGATGTTAGTAGTTAAAATTAAGATAATGGTTTGAAAATATGAAAATGTTTAATGATGCATAAATCATAACAAACTTGCGTGAAGTGGTGTTAAAAGTTACCTCATTTCTCTGTTAGTGAATGATATTTAACCTAATTTAGTAATTAACAATGTTGTTTCTTTCATGTAAATATCATTAATTTAATTTTTTGCTCTTAGTAAAAGTATTTGCAATCTTTCAGAGTTCATTCTTTTAAGCTGTAAATATTTGCAAGTTTTACATATTATCTTATTTCATGATTTAATATATATTTGAAATTTTAAAATTAAATATAAAATAGTTTTAATAGAGCAAGTAGTTTTGTGGAATAAAATTCTCTGCTTGGTCTGAGAATCTTGTTCAGTTCAAATTTCTAATTCTGAGCATGAGGTAGATAAAAGTATTTTTTTTTATTTCAGGAGGAACAGCCAGAACAAGAAGGGGAAGGAACCAGTGAAGGTGCAGGAGATGAACAAGAGAAGAAGAAAGATGAGAAGACTGACAAGGCAGATCAGAAGGAAGAGACCCCAAAAGAGGAAACTCAACAGAAAGATGAAACCCAACAGAAAGATGACGCTAAAGCTGGCAATGATACAAAAGTAAGTATTGCTGATTTGTTTTGCTTAAAAGTATAACATTTTTTACGCAAGTTAAATAAACTCATCAAACAATTTATTTGTAGGCTGAAGGTGAGAAAGCTGATGCAGAAAAGAAAGATAAAGGCCCTAAAATAGTCAGCATTAAGGAAATCATTAAGACAGAACAAGAAATTTTAGACCTGAAAAATGTCTCAGATGCTAAATTTACCTCTGCAGCTAAGAGGTAAAAAATTGTTCTCAATTCCTACTTATGCAATTAATTCTTCTCTCTTTCACTGGATTATGTCACTCAGATATACATTTTATATACATTTTATTGGACATTATTAGCCACTTAGTTTACAGTCTGTTCTTGACTCTTTCCCTTGTAGGATGTCTGAACTAAGGAAGGTTGATAAAGAAAAAATGGAACTGGAAAAATCAAAGAACGAGCTGGAGGCTTTCATTTTTGACTATCAAGATAAGATCCATCAAGAACCTTATGATCAATGTGTTACAGCAGAAGAGAAAGAGAAGATAAGCACCCTGCTATCAGAAGCTTCTGACTGGCTTTATGACCAGTCTGAAGAGACAAAGAAATCTGTAAGCATTGTATATTTATCAAATTAATCTAGTCAAAGCCTGGTTTTTTAAATTATTGTAATTAATTAAAAAAAATTAATCATTTAATTTTTCACCTTTGTGCCCAGGACAGTTTTTCCATTTCTATCACTCTTTGGCTACTTTCTTGGCAGTTCTTCAAGACAGCTTGTTTCTTGCTAGTTTCTTGATTTTTATGTCAGTGTCTCTGCGGGTATTCGCTTTATCCTTTTCTCTTGTGCAGTACAATTTAGAGATGTCACAGAAATTTGATCCTTGTTAAGGATTAAAAAAAATGGCTGTTATTTTTATAAATTATTTTTGTGAAATTGATTATTGTTCTTAAGAGCAGTGATAAATGCCAGTTCATTCATTCATCCTTTGTGGCCCCTGGGGAGCAAAGGGCTGTAATTACACCTCTCCACTGCTCCCCTTATCTGTGCCCACGTGAACCCAGCTGCCTTTGCCTCTTCTTTTACTGTTCTTCTCCATGATCTCTTTGGCTGGCCCACTTTCCTTTTTCCCTGAGGATTCCAGTCCAAAGCTTTCTTTGCAATATTATCTTCTTCCCTTCTCATGATCTGCCCAACCCATCCTCATTTACAGGCCTTGGTGTCCTTATCTGTTGTTTTGCCTTGGTCTTTGATATTTTGTCTGGCCATCTTATTTTAAGGATCTGTCGTAAACATTTATTTGTAAACGACTGTAGCCTATCGATGCAACCCTCCAGGTCTCAGAACCATAGGGCAATACTGCCTCAACATTTGTATTGAAGATTCTTATCTTGCTCTGCAGCGACAGGGCTGTGCACTTCCATTTGGGTATTCAAAACTATTTTAATTGCTGTACATGTTGGCTGCAATTGCACTAGTCCTAAGCAGAACAGGAATTCTCATAGCTAATGATATATAGTCAATAGTTAACTTCCATTGTCTTTTTCTACCATCACCAGTGTGCGAACAATATTGTATGTCTTAACACTGTTCTACCTATTTTTACATCTCTTTCACTGACTGGTATGGAAATTTGTAGTTTGGTAGACTGAAACTAAAAGCAGAGGTTTCTACATCGTTTTCTGCTTAACTTACCTTGCATTTGGATTACATCAAACTTGCCAGCTTTATCCTTAATTCATTTTATCTTTATTCAAACTTGATTTATATTTTTAACCTGTCTCATACAAACATGTTGATGTTAAGAAATTAAGACTATTATCACAAGCAATTTTTGTTTTGTTAATTATTTCTCCATATTTATTCCAGGATTACACAGGCAAACTTAAGACTTTAAAAGATGCCACCAAAGATATGGTACGAAGAGTAGTTGAATTAGAGGAGCGACCTAAAGCCCTGGCAGCTCTTAAAGGGGCTTTAAACCAAACCACACATTTTCTGGCTACAGTTAAGAACCTAACAGATATCGAAGACCCTATCTTCACCCCTGTGGAAATAGAGACCCTTGAAAAATTAATTAATGAAACAAAGGTAGAGTATGCTTTTTTCTTTGATATTTGATTTATAATTTCTGGTTAGTTTACAAAATAATAAAAAAATGATGACAGTTAACCAAATGATCTCATTGATAATTTGTGCTTTTAGGTATGGAGGGATAACAGTGTTAAAGCTCAATCAAAGTTGAAGTCTTATGAAGATCCTGTTTTGAAAATTGAAGATATTGGTCAAAAAATCACAGCATTAGATAGGGAAATGAGATATCTCATCAATAAGGCCAAGGTAATTATTCTACATTAATTATTGCAATTTTGCACTGGTTTGGTTAACATTTGACAAAATAATTTTTGTTTCTTACAATTCAGGTTTAATAGTTGAACTTCTTTTTCTTACATGTCAGGCTTAAAAATTCATAATAGCCATTACAACCCTGGATCTAAATATGGCTGTCTTACATTTCAGAACTTTAAGCCAAAGCCTAAACCAAAGGAAGAGAAGAAGACAGAAAATGCTACTGAGGAAACTGTTACAGCAACACCAAAAGGTGAGCATTATTTTTTTACAGTGATAACTAGAATAAGCCTACATTTCTAATCTAAAACACTCTTTTTTTTATTCCAATATATATAAAAAAAATTTATTTGTTAGAAGATGAAGCTACAGTATCAGATGAAACCACTGGTGAAGAAACTCAGGCCGACCAAACCCCAGATGACCAGCCTCAAAAGGAGACAACAACTGAGGAACCAGCACCAAAGAAATCTAGCTCTGGTAAGAGAAGGCCAAAATCCAAACGTCAAGAAAAGACAAATGAAGAAGAGGAAGAAGTTCTTCAGCTAGGTGAAAAAACTAGTATTTAGCTAATTATCTTTTATCATTCATATAATTAGCAGTGGCTGTATATAAATACACCTTTTCGTTATTTATAGTGTCAGCTACGACAAAAAAAAAACCCTAAATTTCTTCTGTTGCCATTCCAAAATAATCAGTGACTGTATATCTACAATTCTTAAATATCTTATTTGTTACATTCTAGCTTTTTCAGAGGGAAATGTTTTATTTCTTTTAGAAATTTAAATTTGAAATTTTTTAATATACATCTTTCAAATTCATTTTTTTCCTGAAACAGACCCAAAGATTAAAAAAGAAACTCTAGATCGTGACTTATAAATCTTCCCAGATAATGTACAGTATTTTCCCAACTTATTATGTATGTAGCAGTTCAGTCTTTAATTGTGCAGTATATTACTTGCTTAAGAAGTTCTGTGTATGTAGATTTGCACATTCGTAGTTTTTTCTTAGAATCCTAACATTAAATTCTATGGAGAAAAATAATGCATACTAATTTCTGAGTTTGTTATGTATGAAGCTATCTTAGTCTGGGTATTGCACTTTATCACTATGCTGACTACTTTATGTGGAGGGTTTTCTTGATTTAGTAGTCCAGGCTGTTCTAGTGGTGTCTATGATTTCTGACAAACTTTATGGTGAAGTTCCAAATTTTCTAAGTAGATTTAGATGATCTTTTCTTAAGTTTACTATCAAAATTAATGATTAATGCCAAGGTACTCCTAATATTTGCTCTTTAATCTTGGAAATTATTTTCTATGATTTGCTAGAAGTTTTTATTGTATTGAAAAAATGAATTGATGAAATACAATTTTTAATTACAGTTAATAATACACAACCATTTTTTTATATTTAAATAATTATTAGTTAGAAGTATATATATTTTTTCGTTATTTTACATGTTGACGTAACCATTTAATGGGTTATCACCATCTAAAAACATGCTATTTTATTAGTATTTTAAAAATTTATTTCTTAACCTATATTACCTGATTAGAAAAACCGTGAATGGAGAAAATAGTGTTGAACATCTGTCAGTTTTTTAAGAATTTAATATACATTCAAAAATTACATTTAGTTTGTGCTCTTTAAGTTTAAGTTTGCATTTGTACTCAAAACTTTTTTCTTTTTTAAAATTTCAGATGGTGTTGACACAGGATCAGAAGATGTAGAGGAACAGAAAACAAAGCAAGACGAACATGGAGGAGAATTATAACAATAGTTCCATTTTAGAATTGCTGGCCCTCCCCATTAATTGAGGTTTTGTTAATATTTTAGTGATTTATTTATCTACAAATAATGGAGATTTTTTGCAGACATAAGGTGAATGGAACAAAAGTTTTGAAAAATTTCCACTATTCCTTTTTTTTTTGTGGCTGTGATAAGTTAGTTTCCTTCGATTTAAAAAAAAATAAATTTGGAATTGAAATATGTTAGATGTTGATAAAAATAATACAACTGGAGAAAATATTTTAAACTGAACATGTAAATCAGCATTAGGAAATTCTATTGACAATATGGTGCTCTGTGAGTTACTTGTTCTAGTAATGCTGATATTAAATAGGTAAAGGGGAGTCTAGGTACATGTTTATAAGTAGTCAGAATCTGTAACCAAAAGAGGCATCCGACCAGTTGTTTACTCTAGATATGGGTTACATTGGATTACTGTGTGATCTCATGATACATGTAACTTTTTCTTGCTGCTCATGTAAAAGCATCCTGCCCCTTCTTATTCCTGTAAATACAGCAAAGGTTAATGTTGCAAAGATTGAATTGACATGCTTACCAACAAAATGATTCTATATTTATTGAGATATTTTTAAGTGCGACAATTTATGAGACCACAACTTTTGACCAAACAATGATAAGATTTTATACTGTTGGATCTGTGGATGTGTATGGCTGAGAAACAGAAGTGCATGTTTGTTTTATCCAGCTAACTCATTAATGCTTTACCATCTGCAATCTGTTGCTTTGGTTTCAACTTGATATTGTGAGCCAATGTAGGGCTTAAAAGTACACTGCATTTTACTTTAAATGAATTAGCTGTTCAGAATGCTAAATGACGTTAAATGGATTGCTATTATGTGCTTTTTTTTCCCCCTTGACTATATAGTTGTTGACTTTTTTACCATTGTTTTGTAAAACCTGCATAGCATGGTTTTATTTTTGGTATTCAATGCTTTCTACAGCTGCATTTGTCTTTTCTTTAAAGATTTAAAATTTTATTTGACCCTCCACAACTTAAACTGTTATGAGATATGTGGATATTATTTTTGGGGATTTTAGTTATACTTTAATCTTTCAGTTATGCACTAGTTTGTGTATTTTTTAAAAGGGTTGGTTAAATTTTGTAAAACTTAACGAGAAACCTTTTATTGTTTGGACCTATTTCTGGGCAGTGGACTGTAATAGTTTTATCCAAATCATGAAACCGTTTTCAGTATTGAAATAATTGAAATAAAATAGACTAATAGCATTTGCTCAGATGTATCAGAGGTAGAGGGTTGCATTTAAGTATACCAACTTTAGGCAGAACTGTTGTAGCAGTGATATATACGTTAAACAAAGATGGCATTCCTTACTTGTCATACATGATCTATTCGACAATTTTGTGCTATTTATGTGAGCTGAGTGTCTGTGCCATGGAATGAAACTTATTTTATTTAAAACTTTTGGTGATCAAACTTTTTCTTTTTGTTAAAAAGAATTACCAGTTCTTAAATTATAACTTGCTGAGAAACTTGTGAATTTTATGAAAACTACACCTTTTCTAAAGTGTTAGTTATCACAAGTTGGTAGAGAGTTGTAAAGATGGAGCTGCTGTTAATTGTTGTAGGTAAACGTTGAAACAGTTTGATTGTTGTGTTTGTATGCTGGATTCATGGTTTCAAATTGTATTAAAATCAATGTTTACTCTAATTTGTTTTATTTTTTGTGTGAATAATCAGTGAAATACCTTGATGGTAGAGATGGTCACATCATTTAGGGTACACTTACAGCTTGGATAATCTAATACTGTTCAAGTTATGCTACAAGTTTATTACTAAAGCAAATACAAAAAACTTTTAAAACATGTGACAGCCATCACATTAGCAAATGTCATATGTGTGATTTAATAATTTTGATGTTGGAATAGCCAGATCTGAGGCTATGAAAGAGATGCAGTTAGGAGTACAAGGGCCATGTTAGGCGCCTAACATATTGACACATAATTATGTTGGAGAAAATTACTTCCATAACACAAATAAAACTTGCCAAAGTTGAGTTTGTGAGTACACCCACGTCTAAACATTGGTGACCAGGCTTTTTTTTAGACATTAACAAAGACCACATGTATATTTGTAGCATAAATAATTTTCCACAAAATGTGACAAAAGTAAAGTAGAGTTTGTATTTGTGCAGATTTCTCTTTGCATAGTTTTCAATTTGCCCATTTTTCTGGGAACCGTAAACAGTGGCTGGTGCTTAGCTCATAGAATTTGAATTTTTCCTTTATTATTCATTGCAGCTACTATAAAGGTTGTTAGTAAGGTACTGGATTTTAGGTAAAAAGTATTTAATAAATCCAAATAACACCTTTAAGCTGTAATTATGAGTTTATTTATGAATGAAGTAAAAGTATATAAGGAGTAACTTTTAAATCTAAAGTGTAAAAAAAAAAACTGTACAGGATAGTCTACGTGAATGTAACAAAATTGTAGACAATGTAAACAATTTTATGGTGAACATTATACATAAATCAGAATCAAAATCCTACACCAATTTATTTTTTAAATGTTATCTTTATCGAAAGTTAATCTTTAAACTTTTAACATAATGATAAGTATATTATGTCACCGAGATTTATATTATTTACTGTGATCATTCAAATTAAAGAAAATAAGGCTATAATTATTTGGTTAAAAACATACATGGATTGGGAAATTGAATAGCTTTATATTTGTTAAAACCGTGAAAAGAAAACAATCACATGAACTGTTTGTTAACTAAATGGAATTGTGTCCAACAATTTTTTTGGTAAACAGCAATAGTAAAGTTTAACATAAGATACACAGAGTATGAAAAAAGATACAAGAATCTAAAAGAGTAAAAAAAGCATGCCAAGAAATTATGGTACACTAGGGCTTACAGAAGGGGTATAGATAGTTGTACAAGTGTAGTGATACAGGTTAACAAAAATCAATAAATACCACAACCAAAATTTGGATGGTAAACAACAGAAAAGCCATGCATCGGCTACACTTCCCTGAAATTTTTTAAATATACAAAATATAATCTCAGGTATGCTTGTTTCATTTTGTTCACTTGAAAATCAGACGAAATGTTTTAAAAATATTTTAAAAGTTACCTATAGTTCTACCAGAGGATAACGATTTTTAAAAATTAATGTGACCATGTAAACATAACGCAAAAAAGGAAAAACAAAAATCTTTACTTAGAAAAAACATTACAAATACTAATATTATTTTATTTACAGCATTATAGGCAAACAAAACGGGTTCTGCTTAATTAGTTCCTTCCCCTGATAAAGAAAATAAAAGCTGGGGTAAACACAGTGCACAAGTTTATATTAAAGGTTAAATGAAATATTTCAGAAACTTGTATTTTCTTTATTGTTTATATCTTATTTTTCTGCTATAAAATTACTATAGAAATATTTAACATTTTTTTGAGCTTCACTTAACATTTCTTTTTTTGTTTGTTTACAAATTGCATAAAATTATAAATGGCAATTTCAAAGAATTCATGGCTGTAGAGTAATTTAAGAAATAGAAATTAATGAAAGGGTTGTTATAAAAGTAACAATAACATTATACCTTTTATAAGATTATTAATAAAATATATATATAACACAAAGTGTTTTCTAAAAAAAGTATACCTCCCACCCCACATTAAAGTAAACCATTAGTGGCTAGGATTATCAAAGGAATGTGTAGGACGTTTTAAGGCGTGTCAAACATTTTGAAAACAGTTTTCTTGTTTCTAAAATACTTTTTTTTTTACATGGGAATAAAGAGAAATCTTTAAAAACAATGTATAAGCATTGGAATATAAGTAACGTTTAAATTGCTTTGGTATCTTTAGCCTTGCACTGAAAGAGATGGTTAATAGGAATGTTGGAGATGGTTACAACTAAAGATGGAAACATCAGGCACACATTACGCCTTACAGGGTTTGATATTTTAACCAGTTATAGAAGAGGGTTCAGAAAGCTGGGTACCCCTTACAGGGTTCAATATTTTAACCAATTTTAGAAGAGGGTTCAGGCAATGGGGAATGTAGTTAAGGAAAAAAAATTCATTGGATTCATCAGGCACACAAATTTATGTTGCGATAATAAATACTTCAGCAAATATAACACACTGCACTGCTATTCTATTTGTCTAATTCACACCAAGCTTAGCTCTACACTGCAAACATTACCAATATAATCTAAATTACTTTTCTAAATATCAAACATCAAAATACTAACAATATAAATAATCTTTTTAAAAAAATGTGTTGACAAATTTTACACTTCTTTAACAACACTTGTATGGTTCAAACTAGTAGTTAAACACAAACTGAAACTTTTCCAAATATTAATGCGCCCTTTACTGTATTATGTAAACATATGACAGGATAAAATGTTTTACAAGTGGTTTGGTGAATGGCTATGCACTTGTTTTACACTCTACACAGAAAACCATTTCGATCCTATATACATTATTCACATGTTACTTATATTTACAGTATACAAAGTTACATAAACAAAAGATGCTCTGTAGAATATGAATTTTTTTTTTAACATAAAAGTCAGCAATGTTAGTCAGCATGCATTAGTTGTAGGTATGATTTATCATGGCAGCGTGAAGCAAAAAATTAAGTACAAAGTTCAGCACAGCACACGTGAGCTTCAGAAGCAAGAACATCCCTCACACACGAATTTCTTTTACACACTTAATCCCATAAACAAATTTTTTACACACTTAATCCATCACACACATTTCTTTAACACACTTACTTCCACACACTCATTAAAATTTCCACACATACACTAACAATCCTTTTACACAGTAAATTCCAGACACATCAACATTTCTTTTACACACTTAGGTTAAATCTTTAATGGTCAACAGCAGGTATGATTTAATAGACTATACAAAACATCTATGAAATCAAAAGTTAAACCTCAACTGGCTGATGCTCAAAATTTTCTTATGAATTAATGAAGAGTAACAGATAATATTGCTACTACCAAATGCTAAACAAATTTTATTTCATAGTTAATTTAATTAGTTTTTCATTTTCCCAGTATATTTACAAATACGCATTTATAAACTTACAAGCAATCCAACATATGAAAGCACACACAAGTATTCAATCAAGTGCACCATTGCAAGGACACACGTCTCACCAAACTATGACAGTTTTAAGCAATCATTCACACTGCATCAATTGTACATATTGGTTTGATTCATTAACTTTGCTGTTAAAGTAACACAATATTTTAGTTTATGCAACAATATGGAGTTCCTTTAATTTTATGTCAGTATTTAGGTACAAAAATGTGTGCATGTTTAAAAATAACATTTATATAAAAATACTTAAATAATAACTGATGAAATTTGTCCAAAGAACAAACGTAATATAATTTAGAAATATTATAGGCATATACTTTCCCATATTAAAGGCAGTTTATAGCTATGTTTACAATTTTATTACATACACAAATATTCTGCATACAATTTGTAATAAAACTATGACATTAAGTTTTTCATCATTATCTGGTAAACAAAATCAAATCCAGTTCAATGTAAAACAATTTAGAATTAAAAAATTTATGTGCAGAATTTAAGAAATGCTGTAATTTTTGTTTAGAGCCCTAATGTTTTAAATTTTTACTATACAAAAATGATCTCATCTGAAGTAGATGGAATGCAATACAAAAGAAAAATGAATCAAGACTAGGTATTCACTGTTTGTAACAAAAATAAATCAACACAAACATCATTTATATTTTTGTAAGGAAACCTTCATCCATGAACAAAGTATAATATAAATAATACATTTTAACATTTTAAAGCAAATTATTCTTATGCATTTATATAATATATTTTTGTATAAGTTGTATAGAAGAAAGTTCAGTTTCATAAAAAAAACAACTAGTAGTAGTGTTTTAACTGACAAGATGGCAGACCATACAGTGGTCTACACTGAAGGTCAGCAATTCATTACTATAACTGATCTCCTCTAAAGGAGACAGTATTGTTTCAGCTTGTTGAAAATGAGGTTGATTTATTGTGACAACAAGAGTGAAAAAATTTAAACATACAGGGACTTTGCATAACATAACGGTTGATAGTTCAGTTTGAGCTTCAGTTAAAGCAAAAAGAAAATTTAAAAATCATATTATGTTTCTTTCCATCAAATACTTCCTAGCATTTTCAAATGTAAAATAAAATTACAAATAAAAATATTTACAACCATTTTATCAGTAAGATTTGGTTAAAAATAGCAATCTTCAATATGTAATTAATTACTCAAGTGACATTTATTAAATTATTGCAAAGAAATTAAAATAATTAGAACTAGCTCTTGTTAAATTGGTATTGACATTAGATTAATTAATTAGTGTTAACTAAGCTCTGTTAGTCGTGATATGATAAAATTAGTTAAAAAAAAACCTTTTTACAGTAGTTACTGATATGAACTTCCACTAAACAGAGTTGAAATATCCACAACCTGTAGACATCACTAACACAGGTAACAAACTTTACCTTAATAACAGTAACTACACAACCATTTTAAAAAATTAAATGATCATAAATATGTATATGTAAAAAAAAACAACGCTAACTTTTCACAACCAATAAGTTCTCAAAATGAAAACCTCAGATCTATTGCATGGCTGACCTGTCTGTGATTACACCTGTGGCATCTGGATATCTGACGAGTAATCAGACGAGGTCTCTGTGATGGCCATTGGCTTACGGCTCCTGGGGCGGTTGTCGTATGTTAAGTCAGCGTACAGCAGGCCATCTTCATGTTTCTGGTCAAAAGACTGAAACAGATGATAGAAACAATTCATTTTCAATACAATTATTTGGTCAAAAGACTGAAACAGATGATAGAAACACTTCACTTTCAATACAATTATTTGGTTAAAAGACTGAAACAGATGATAGAAACACTTCACTTTCAATACAATTATTTGGTCAAAAGACTGAAACAGATGATAGAAACACTTCACTTTCAATACAATTATTTGGTCAAAAGACTGAAACAGATGATAGAAACACTTCACTTTCAATACAATTATTTGGTCAAAAGACTGAAACAGATGATAGAAACACTTCACTTTCAATACAATTTTTTGGTCAAAAGACTGAAACAGATGATAGAAACACTTCACTTTCAATACAATTATTTGGTTAAAAGACTGAAACAGATGATAGAAACACTTCACTTTCAATACAATTATTTGGTTAAAAGACTGAAACAGATGATAGAAACACTTCACTTTCAATACAATTTTTTGGTCAAAAGACTGAAATAGATAATAGAGAAAAAAAACCTAGATGACTGTCACATTTAGTTTTTAATGAATTTTTCCACAATAAATGTCAGGTACCCATTAGAGCTGGACAGACTCAATACATTCATAGCAAAAAAAAAAAAACAGCGCTAGGTCTAAACTCAAGTCTTTCTAATGTATAAATGAAGACACGCTCTTATTGGAGCTGGTATTCACAGTGTTAATTGGGGAACCAGCATAGAGTTTTGAATAGATATATGAGCGCCTAAAATGTTAATAAATAAGTGTGATAATGGAGTAGGGGAAATATGCAAAAAATGATGAGTTAGAAGTTTAACATCTAAGGAAAACCTTTTATATTATATAATAAATTATCAGAATGCGAAATCCTCAAGAATGAACATCTTTAGGAGTTGGATCTCAATATTCATCATGTAATTTTCAATTGGTAAGCATAAGAAGACAATGATTGGTTTTGATATTCTGTTTACAACTGTATTTGCAACACTTTTGTTTCCCCAATTATTTTACAAATAATTTCTGAAACAAAAGAAATTCAGAGCCTAAATAAATCAAAGGGAGGTAATGATGGGTAAACTTACACTGTTGAGACTTGGGTTGTTGAACTTCTTTTCATCAGCCACCAGGTCTGGCTGTGCATGCTGGAAACTCAGGTTGGTGTGGTTGCTGTTTGTGAAAAGGTATGATTTAAAATGGTGTGATTGCTGCTCATGAAAAGGTATGATTTAAAATGGCGTGATTGCTGCTCATGAAAAGGTATGATTTAAAATGGTGTGATTGCTGTTTGTGAAAAGGTATGATTTAAAATGGTGTGATTGCTGCTCATGAAAAGGTATGATTTAAAATGGCGTGATTGCTGCTCATGAAAAGGTATGATTTAAAATGGTGTGATTGCTGTTTGTGAAAAGGTATGATTTAAAATGGCGTGATTGCTGCTCATGAAAAGGTATGATTTAAAATGGTGTGATTGCTACTCATGAAAAGGTATGATTTAAAATGGTGTGATTGCTGCTCATGAAAAGGTATGATTTAAAATGGTGTGATTGCTGTTCATGAAAAGGTATGATTTAAAATGGTGTGATTGCTGTTTGTGAAAAGGTATGATTTAAAATGGTGTGATTGCTGTTCATGAAAAGGTATGATTTAAAATGGTGTGATTGCTGCTCATGAAAAGGTATGATTTAAAATGGTGTGATTGCTGCTCATGAAAAGGTATGATTTAAAATGGTGTGATTGCTGCTCATGAAAAGGTATGATTTAAAATGGTGTGGTTGCTGCTCATGAAAAGGTGTGATTTAAAATGGTGTGATTGCTGTTTGTGAAAAGGTATGATTTAAAATGGTGTGATTGCTGCTCATGAAAAGGTATGATTTAAAATGGTGTGATTGCTGTTTGTGAAAAGGTATGATTTAAAATGGTGTGATTGCTGCTCATGAAAAGGTATGATTTAAAATGGTGTGATTGCTGTTTGTGAAAAGGTTTGATTTAAAATGGTGTGATTGCTGCTCATGAAAAGGTATGATTTAAAATGGTGTGATTGCTGCTCATGAAAAGGTATTATTTAAAATGGTGTGACTGCTGCTCATTTAGGTTAATTTTTTGTTACCATATGCATAATGAAAATTTAAAGTCTCTTATGGTTTTTTCTTATTGAGACCATTAACTCCTGCTCCACTAGTATAACTTTTATTCCTAAAGTATTTCTACCTAAAATTGTAATATTCTATTAAACTTACTTATATGGTTTCTCTGGAGGTTCTGGAAAGAAATATTTGGGAGAAAATGTTAATCATGGGGGAGATAATTATTATTTATATTAAAATAAATTGTCTTTATCAAAAGTTAATCAACTATATTTTGACAAACACACTTCTTGTAAAATAGATAATACCTCTTAAACCTCATTAACCATTAATGTCCCGTAACGCCCGCTGCCGCCCGACACCGTTAATGTCCCGTAACGCCCGCTGCCGCCCGCTTACAATAAGCATAGAAAAATTAAATTTGTTTCATTAAAATTTGGCCTACAAATCCTAATTTTTAACTAAACAGGAAGTCGGATGGTTTCAGCATCCTTTTCCGGTCTTGTAATTTCAATGGCGCTTTTGAAAGATAAAAAATAATAGTTTCTTTCTATCTCGAAATTTTCGACTCATCTGTCGTATTTTTAGTAGATTTAATATTAAAAATAAAAAAAATTAATGCCTCTAAACGTATCTAGGCATGTATTTTATGAATTATATATGTTAAACATAACCAAATTGATATTTAACTGTTAAATTCGATGCATAGTTGTTAAGACAAAAATAAATAAAGTTGACTACCGAAAATGACCTGTTTTGAATTTTCTCAGACATTTTTTATTTTTATACTGTACTTTTACCGAATATAATATATTCTATTTAATACTGTTGGAAAGCCAGGTTTATTCCCAACATTAAGCAGTACTTTTTATCTTAATTTTCAATTTCATTTAGACAAAAACAAATATTTTGTGAAACTATTCACTTGATCATACAGAGTTATGCTCCTTACATTGGGCCGTCATGGGTGGAGTTTTGGTAGAATGAATGGGACATTAATGGTTAAAACCTCTAAATTCTAATATTTGAATAAAACTATTGAAACTAACAATAGGTGTAGTAATCTCACCTTCAATAGTTTTCTTAGGTTGTCGCTTCCTCCAGCAGACCACTCCCACTATAATCAGTACAATGATGATGACACACCCAACACTCACACACACAGCAATAATGATTGTGTCTAGGTACAAAATAAGGGTACAGTTAATATAAGAGACTACTTCAATAACCTGTAATATGTATACCAAAGGTAAAACAACATTGTGACAAAAATAAAATGCAGCTTAAATAGTTAAAAAAAAAACAACTAAGAATCAAATGAAAATATTCACAATTTGATGTATAAAAATCTAGTTGAATTCTCCGTATCAACACATTAGATTAGAATGAATAGCTTTAATTCCATACATAATTTGTAGCATAAAATATTTGCCTTCTATAAAGACCTAATCAAACATGAGAGAAAATTACATCCTCATCAGAAACAATTCACTTTATTAAAAATTCTCTTGAGAAGCTACCCAGATTTTCATAACATAATTATTAAAAATGTTTTAGTTTTAAAAACTCTTTTAAATATAAAATATACAGCTGCATACACAAATGGCTTAAGAACCAATGATACACCCACAGGGGCACATTTAAGGTTTCCAACAGTGTGGCCGAATGGTAGAGTGTTTGATTACTGGCCCAAAGGTCTTGAGTTCGGATCTTGGTTCAGACTCATGACTGTAGGACATCCCTGAGTCCACTGAGCCCCAATGGGTAGTGACTCACATTAGGCAAACTAATTCGGCTGGGTATAGTGCTGCCCACAATTTCCCTTCAAGTGCCGAGGTCATTGAAACAGATAAACTCTACTTCATCTGTCCCATGAGTCTTGGGCTCGCACGTTGAAAAGATGATGATCAGCATGCAAACATAAAGTGCTACAAACAAGAGGTTCTACTCACTGGTCTGGCTGTTATCAGCTGACTGAGACTCAGGACTTGCCCCCCCAGGGGCTGTGGTGACACTTGTGGAAGTTCTTGCAGTTGTTGATGTCTTTGTTGTAGCCTTGGTTGTGGTTGTAGCCACTGGACATTTTATCAAATAGAAAAAAAACTTTACTAGAGTGTATTCAAGCAGTTTCTCTCAGACCATAGAAAAAAAATATTAGGGAGTATTCAAGTCATTTTGACCAGAACATAGAAAAAAAACACTATTCAAGCAATTTTTCCCCAGCACATAGTAATAAAATTAGGAGCAACTTAGGACCAGTCTTTAGCAGCTAAAAGTTGTTGCAAAACATAACTCTTTAATTTCCCAATGTAGAACAACTAATTTAAAAAGCCAGAGAAAGAAAACTGAACAAGAAGATACTGAATTATCTTATCTATAACTATATTAGAAGCAGAAAATGGAACCAATATAATTGCTAAGATACTTGAGGCAGTACAAATTAAAACTTTATCAGTGTTTAGAATTCAAATACAATCACAATCATACTGAAAGATACTAAATTGTCCTATCTATGACTATATGACTATGAGAAACAGAAAATGAAACTAATATTTGTCTAAGATACTTGAAGCAGTACAAATTAAAACTGTTTTAGAATTCAAATGCAATGACAAACATACTTACCAACATTGACATTGACCTCACGGCTTGTCGAATACGAGACTCCCAATACAACATTTGAGGCTGTACAACTGAGAGTAAAAACATTATGAAGCAATTACACTTTGTAGAAAGATTTTTAAAATTTGACATAAAAGAAATATTGCCAACAAATTATAATCATGTAAATTGAACCACAGCGATGAAAAGCTATTATCAATCATTTAATGAAAAAGAGTGTGACTCAAAACATGTTAAGTAGGCGTGAAAATGCCACTAAAGTTTATAAACTAGCAATAACAGTAACCCGGGGAAAAAAATAAAATTTTTCTGTCCATAGTGTTACAACCAGAAAAGCAAATGCACAAATTACTTACTTGTATGTACCATCATCCTGGTCAAGTCTAAGATTAGTCAGAACAAGTTTAGAGACATCTCCATCCTGTATGCCAGTTAATGTCCTGTTGACGTCATCCTCTTTAGTCCAGGTGTAGCTGGGTTTAGGATTACCATCAGCATAACAGGTGAGTGTTGTTGTACCACCTTCATAGCTCATAGACTGTGGAGCACTGTTGACAGTAATGTCAGATACGCCATCTGTAAAATATACATTTCTTGTTTGTAAAATGTTCAGAAAAGTATAAATTCAACCTATAATTTTAGGACTAAAAGGGAAATTTTAAAATTTAAAAAGCCTGAAATCCATACTTATATTTTTCAATTTTTCTTGGGTAAGTTAATACTATTTACAAAATAAAATTAAAATAAAACTGTAAATGTGTAAACTCTATTTCACCCGCCTGTGGGCCAAAAGGTCAGAAAGGAAACTTGACTAGAATTCTATATAGCAAATGCTTTATTACATACACAGTATGGAGATGGGATCTGTCTGACTGCAGAAGTTAACACTGGTACAATCAGGTTGTGTCACTGGGAAGTCTGTGTTCACAACATAGCAGGCCAGGCTTAGGTTCTGAAAGGTTCTGTTGGCGACTAGACTTGTCCTACTCTCCCAGCGTTCTGTACAAGGGTCATCACCTGACTGCAGGCTCACTGGACAAAAAATAAATATTTGAAAATACATTAACTAGATAAGAAAGTATTGAAAATAAGTGTTTTATAAAAGGTTATTCATTCACAGTAAAAATAAACCGGGAGTGATCTCCCCTAAACTTTCTCGAATATTCTAATATAAAACAACAGGGGATGGTAACTGGGGATATAGTTATGATTTTTAATCCATTTTAAATACTGAAACTTTTAAAAATAGAATAGAATCTCAGTAAAAAACAATTGCGCAGCAAGCGAACGCCTAATAAAGGTGTGTATAATAGTGCGCAATAGTATTAGTACTTTAAAAATTTACATTAGTTTTTTGAGAAATCGGAAGTAACGTAAATTACTACTTCCGGTCAACGGAAATTACTCAAAATTTAACAGAAGGTAGAGAATTAGATCTTTTACTTACATGTGAAATTTCATTTATCTATCTGAAATAGTACTCAAGTTATAGGCTTTTGAAAAATTCAAAGTAGAAAAAGTACCACTTCCGGTTGTCGGAAATCGCTCAAAAGTTGATACGGATCTACGATTTTGATATAATACTTATATATGAAATTTCATCAACCTAGCTGTAACGGTACTCAAGTTATCGTGTTTACACACGGACACACAGACACACACACACACAGACATACGGACAAGATTGCAAAATTATGTTTTTCCGTATCAGTGAGGTGTAAAACGTCGAGATTTGTAAAAATCTCGATTTTTTTTTTTGCACGATTACAATACTTTCTCTATACTATGTATATACGAGAAAGTAAAAAAAAAACAAAGAAAGAAAGAAAAAATAAACCGGGAGTGATTTCCCCTAAACTTTCTCGAATATTCTTATATAAAATAACAGGGGATGGGAACTCGGGCTATAGACATGATTTTTAATCCATGTTAAATACTTAAAGTTTTAAAAATAGAATAAAATCTCGTAGACAAATTAATTGCACACCAAGTGAACGCGAAATAAAAAAGCGCATAATAGTGCGCAATATTATTATTACTTTTAAAATTTACATTAGTTTTTTGAGAAATCGGAAGTAGCGTAAAGTACTACTTCCAGTCAACGGAAATGACTCAAAATTTAATAGAAGGTAGAGAATTAGATCTTTTACTTACGTATGAAATTTCATTTATCTATCTGAAATAGTACTCAAGTTATAGGCTTTTGAAAAATTCAAAGTAGAAAAAGTACCACTTCCGGTTGTCGGAAATCGCTCAAAAGTTGATACGGATCTACGATTTTGATATAATACTTATATATGAAATTTCATCAACCTAGCTGTAACGGTACTCAAGTTATCGTGTTTACACACGGACACACACAGACATACGGACAAGATTGCAAAATTATGTTTTTCCGTATCAGTGAGATGCAAAACGTCGAGATTTGCAAAAAATCTCGATTTTTTTTTTTTGCACGATTACAAGACTTTCTCTATACTTCGTATATACGAGAAAGTAAAAAAGAATATGGAACAGAATATTAAAAAAAAAACTATATTCACAAAATGTGCATTTAATTTTTTACCAGACTTAGTAGTGACTTGTGGGTTAATGGATGCGGTAACCTCCACTCCATTACTGTAATACTTCCACTGTATTGATCCTTTGCCTGGTCGACCCCAATTAGCATTACATGTGATATTTGCTAATGATCCCTCAGGGACTCCATTCTGTGATGCTCCACTTGCAAAGGATGGCGACTTAGGAGGAACTATCAAAAACAAATTTTGTAGGTAAGTTTAAAGGCTCTAAGAACAGTCTGACATTAACATTATTTTAGTAATATATGTGGCAAATAACATCTACATTTTTTTCTAAGAATGGTGTTGATGCAATTACCTTTAATATACAAAGGTGTGGAATTATTTTTAAAACTGGAACTGCCTGTTTCAGTATTAATATATGTAACTGAGCAGAAATAGGTTCCTTCATCACTACACTGTGTATTTTGAATTATCATTGTCATACTCGTGGTATTATATGTAGCTACAGAGAGACGACTGTGATAATCAGCAAGTCCTGTCACAGCACCACCTATATAGGAGTAGAATGATTTCAACCCCGATCCAGAATTAAAAGTAATTGTTAGGGCTAAAATTGTTTCTTTGGCACCAGGAATCCAAGTACACTGTAAGCTGGCATTGGTGCCTTTAACCACACTGGCAGATGGAGAAAATGTTCCAGTCAGGTCCAAAGAATTTACACATGAAACAACTGCAATAGAAATAATTTGGAAATTAAAAAAAAAAGATAAATAGTGGTACAGAAAAGTAAGGATTTGAATTTAACAAATGAAACAAGCCAACAACGTCTACAACTACTCTCGGTCTGTTACACTTAAACAAATATTATGGAAAATAATGCCTGATCAATAGTGGTAGTGAACCCATGAACTAATTAAACTGTTAAGTATGTTATATTACCAAAAAACGAATAGCATATCAAAATACTTTTGTTCTGAATAAAACTATATGGAAAAATACAGCAGCACTGTCCTGTGGCAAACAAAATCTTGCATTGAATTTTAAAGTTTACTAAGCGTAATATCTACGTAAATATTTGGTATGATGTGTGTAATGCCTTGGTTAATCTTAAAAAAATCCTCACTAAAATGATATAAAATGATAATATCTATTCACAGCTTTTGGGTAACAGTACCATATCTAATTGTTTACAATAAAATTAGCCTGAATCAAATGTACATTTTTAGTCATTAGGTAATTAGTGTAATATTTAAGAACCTGAATGCGCTATAGACAATGAATTTTTGTTTTAGTTTTTGATAATTTAATCTAGTCAAAAATCTTTTTTTTTTACTCTTGAAAATAGTATGTTCATGTCAGTTAAGATTGTCATGATAATAGGTAAAGTATGAAACTCATAATTGCAAGGCCGTTATGTTTGTATTGTCACAAGTATCTCCAACACATGATACTATACTATAAATTAACTTACATGAACTCACAATGGCCCCAAAACTGAGTCCACCACAATTTCAAAAAGCAATTGCCCAAGCTATGATGTATGCTGATAATTTAAGTCAATGCGAACTCAGTGAACCCTCGACAGTGTAGGGATTTTTCTCCCACTGACGATCTCATGCTATTTAATTGGAACTGTTCTAATGCTTATATTATGTTTTTTACCTTCTCTAATTAAAACACATTCATAAAAGAAATAAGTAGGACTAGATCTAGATCTAATCCTAGTGTTTTCTTAATGCTTTTGAGGGTTTCGGTTGTGTTTATAATTCTTCTTCTTCTTCTTCTTCGTTCTTAATTATTAGTGTTGAAGGGGATCGAGATTTATCTGCCAGTGGGTTTGAACTCGAGACTTTGTTCGAATTTATCAACCATGAGCTTTTTGCCGACTCGACCACGCCTCCAACACAATTAAGCGGTACGTGTCAACTGGTTATGCGCCATTGAGGCCATTGACTCCGATTTCAGCCTGCTTTTCTTTTTGGATTTGCTTCCATAGCCTTTGTCCAACCAAGAACAAACTACAAGGCAGCAGTTGTTTAATTTTGGAGTTGTCTCTCGTAGAAGAGTGGCTGTCCCCAGCTAACGAGCCTCATCTGCCCGAGGGTTCGAACTCGAGACTTTTCGGTTTAGCAACCATGAGCTTTACCGACTCGACCACGCCGACCCTACGTGTTTATAATAAAATACGCTCAACTAGAGGTGAACGTGAAGCAGGGAATAAAATAAAAGGTAATCTATCGTTTTAGGTGCGTAAAATCGGCAGAGGCTAGTAAAGTTGCCTCATTGTTAGGGCTTTAGACCTAATAGACGTATATTGTGATATATTTGTGTTAAATATTATAGATAACTGAATAATAAACCAAAATCAATGGCTAAATATATCAAAATTCAGGGGAAACTACTCTAACTTACAGATGGCCGTTTTTTTATAATAGAGTAAATCTTGCTCACTTGCTCGCAAACACTGCTGTTTAAAGTTAATTTCTGGCTTATATTGATATATTTTTTTAGTATTGCTCACTACCCACTCACTAACAACAATATGGAGTACAGACCAGATGCAGCATGATTTTTCATCTTAGTTCCAGTGACCTTCTTAGAATTACTTTTAATAATTTTATCATGAGCAAAATGGCGGGTTTTCACGTTATAAATTTAAAAGGTGTCATTAAAAATAATAAAACTTTTTAAATATCAAACCGGGGAGTATAAAAATGAACTGGAGTATGTAGAACTATTAGATCTAGGTTTATCAGTTTATGAAAAAAAAATCAAATATTGCAAACCACTTTTTTATAAATCATTTATAAAAAAGTTGCTACGAGGTGGGGCGGGTTAGTCTAGTCCTCATAGTCACCTTTTGCAAGGATTTCAATATTAATTTGAGATTGCGAAATAAAAAAAAAATCAGGGAGAAACTAGATTTAGGCGGGTTAAAATACCGATAGGTAAATTAGGCTATATCGATAGCTAGATTACCAGGCTTAAGAGATGTAAGTTTCATTTGAATAACTGCATTCTTTTAGATTACCTTTTCCGTGTTTTTGATAAATAGTTAACTGAAAATATCAGTGGAAAATTTGGACTACAAAAATTGTGGTTTGAAAGTCCGCCGAAATTCCGAATCTTAATCTACATTTAATCTTGATCTAGCACCGTCAGACCTAGCGCAATCGACCAATCGAAAAGAAATGCGCATATTCGAGTGTTCATTTGACCTAAGTACAGTAGTTGTCAATTTAAATTTAAATACGAATAAGTGGAATGAGCATGTCGCCCCTTTCTGTAGAAGACATTTCCTAATTTTTAAAACTTCGTAAAAAATTGAAACTCGGCGGAAAAAATCGGCGAAAATTAAATCAGCGGAGGAAAATTGCAACTGAAACGGAAAAATCGGATTTCCGCTAAAATTCGGAAAAGTCACATCCCTGTAAATGACAACCAAATTTATATATTCTTTTTTTAAACAACGTGACCGCTATTAGGTGATCACTAATGAGGAACTATGGTGCATAGTCAAAAAGTCGCACTGGATTTGCGGTTTGCCTTTGCTTTAAACGAAAGAGTGATATAACAAGTGTTGTTATGGAGAGTAATTTATTTTAAAACGAACTTAAAACTTCAAAATTAGCGCCTAATGTATTAAATATGGATGTCTATCATTCAGTGGTCATGTTTAAATTGAAAATTGGGTAAATTTTAGATTTAGTAAGAAAATCTAGGCCTAAATATATTTTATTTAGCCATTGATTGTGGTTTATTATTCAGTTATCTTTAATATTTGACACAAATATATCACAATATATTTCCATTAAAGCCTTAACAATGAGGCAACTTTTTCGCACATTACTAGCTTCGGACGATTTTACCCGCCTAAAACAAAAGATTACCAAAATAAAAATCAAAGTGACCACTCGGAAAAAGATTTTTTGCCCCAGTGTCTCCACTTGGACGGCAGTGCATGTGCAGTGACCTTAATAGCCGAGCTAGGGTTATGGCTAGGGTTAAAGTTCTGCGGTTGTAAACACACGCATGCGCAGTACCATCAAAAACATCTACGCTAAGGCAAGTCGTAATTTCTCTCCCAGAGCCAGCATTAGGAATACACTGGGCCTAGGGCCAACCTTCCGTGCGGGGCCTGCTTTTTTCCATTATATAAATAGCCTATATATATAGGCTTATCTATAAGCTAATGCAAAACTTTCCAGTTTAACATCAGATGTTCACCTCTCCCATGTTTTAAACTCCAAGGTTCTGTTTTTTTTCTTTTTTTGCTAAGATATTAAATTACTTTTTACAGTTATGTAATCCATACTAAATGTACTAAAGAAAATTCAATCAATTGCCAGAAAATTAGAACAATAAAGTGGTTTTAATTGTTTGTTAATGACTAATAGTTAATATAAGTCATACGTTTGAAATCTATCTAAAAAAGAGTGTTAGTAAGCACATAATTGTAGACAAATTACAAAATCAACAAAACTAAAGTAATTAAAGTTGTAAAAAAATGAAAAAGATTGATTGCTTTTGGACTTAGCTGGTTATGAATCATGAAAACAAACTCTACAAATGTAGTTTTTAACCTCACCAAAGTATCAGATACAAATTGAAAGACCGCGTTCATTAGGGGAATATCAATGAATACTAAATCACTACCCTTCATTGCCTACAACGATTCCCCTTCCTCCATAAAAGTTGTGCAACGAGGATGATTCACTAAGACGATTGAATAAAACAATTAGGATGAATTCTGTAAAAAATCACTCTGTCTTGGAACGGATGAATACTTACTAAATACTTAGGATGACACAACCATAGCAACATTTACTTTCTTCCCAAAAAAATAATAAATCACTCTGTTTAATGCCCCATTGATGTAGATCCCCCATGCCCCCCCCCCCCAGAGTTTATTCCAGGTATCTCTTTCCGAAGAAAGTCTAGCACCCTTCTGAACGAGCAGTGTTTATTCCAGACTTTTTTCTCTGGGGGGGGGGTAGAATTTTTTCGGAGGGGCTTTAACTGCCCCCCCCCCCCCCCCCCCCGAAGAGATGCCTGGAAGAAACTCTGCGAACGAGGTGGAGTTTATCCCACCCCCCCCCCCCCGAAAAATATGTGCACCCCGGAGAAAATTTTTTGGAAGAAACACTGCTTCCCACTGTTTTAGTATCAAATTACTGCCTTTCACAGTTCAATTACTACTACTAGACTAGATCTAGAGATCTATTTTCTAGACTTACAATCTACATCTACACTCTACTACTAGACCTAGATCCACTCTTACTAGATCTAGAGTCTTTTTAGCGACGAGATAATCTAGATTCTACTCTTCAACTTTTAACACACTGACTTGGACTTGACTTCACTTGACGCAGAAGTTTACAAACACGGATACGATTAGATTTAGAGTTTTAGAGGGATCCAACTTACCTAAAGCAGCAATTATTACTAATCTGTTCATTTTGAAAACAATATAAAT